GGCCAAAACTAGAATCTAGTTATAAGTGCACCGTGATTTTCTTCTGAAACATTTGTAATGAATTAATTTACATTCATTCCCTGAGCATGGTCACAACATACGAAATGTGATTTCCCATCCAGAATATACTGCATAGCGGCTTAATCACACATGTTATTGTCATTCATTTTCCATTTCCAGTTTCATATATATACGTGTGTGTGTGTGTGTGTGTGTGTGTGTGTGTGTGTGTGTACATCTTACCCCTATTTCTCACCCTCTGTCATTCCTCATTCTTACCACATACGCAATCTCAATCTTGTATTGCTTGCTTTTTTCCCCAGTTTTGCTACAGGGCACATGTACTCGCCAGGAGAAACAGAGAGGGGGTGGGAGGAGTTAGAAATCCCTCCTAGGAAATGGTGGTACTGCAATCTCTTCTCCATTTTCCCTCCTTTCAGAATTTCGGGCATGCAGCATAAAGCATCTGTGTGTTTCTGAGGTGTCAAGTTCAAGACTCAAGTTCCCCAGCTGGCCATATGGGACCCAGCTGTCCTAACCGCCATGCCTCTGGCTGGGCTATATTGCCTCCATAAATGTGGTTTAAAAGATTGATTGCAGCTTTCAGCCATTACATGAAAAAAATAATCACCAAATCTGAATTAAACTCACTGGCCTCTTTCCTGTTAGGGCCCTCTAGTGACCTCCAGAATCACCCCAATTTCATCCAGACTGATTCAGGTTGGCATGTCATCTTTCAATTTTGTGATTCAGGGGACCAGCAGTTGGTGTAAGGGCTATGTCGCTGGATTTCCATGTAGTCGACCGCAGTTTGAGTCCCAGACCCGGAGATTTAAACTCACGCCGGGCACGTGTGTGTGCATTTCCAGGATCCCAAGAGGAGAATGGAGGAGAAGGGATTGCGGCGTGGTCATCCCCCCTGGGGGGTGATTTCTCACTTTCTCTGTTTCTCTCTGGCTTTCTTTTTTTTTTTAAGCCACCGGGTCCGGGACACGAACCACGGTCGACTACGTGGGAGTCCAGCGACATAGCCATTACGCTAACTGCTGGTTCCCTCTCTGTCTTTCTGGAGAGTGCATGCGCCCTACAGCAAAAACCTCTAAACAAACAAACAAACAAAAAAATATTTTGTGATTCAGTGAAGTATTGAAAGCATCCTCAATTGTGAGAGCATTTTAAAAGCATCATTCTCTTTTCTGATAGTTCATTTGAGGAAATAAACCTCCACCGTATTTATTTTCAAACATATTGTAAGTCTTGAAATGCGTTCAAACCAAAGATAGATTAATTCAACACATTTTAGTGGTTTTGTTTTATAGGTATCATTAACAGATCAGCATTGTTAGCTGAAATTCCAAATTTCCTTTTTGTAAAAACTTTAAACCTGACTCCCAACCATCAATGAAAAGTTGAAACATTCTTGAATAAATTCAAACACTGTATTATACTCAGAGGCAGTAAAGAAAAGGGAGTTGAAACAGAGCAGTTTAAACAGGTTAGCAGCAGGATTGTAAACGTGATGTGAAATTATGAATTACTAATTATTAATTTTCTGGTCTGATCTTGTATCCTGTCTGGTCTTTGTCTACAACCAGTGTGATGTGACGATATAGAAAGGTGACTTTGGGACCAGCAGATGGCGTAATAGCTATGTCACTAGACTCCCACATTGTCGACCACAGTTCAAGCCCCAAACCAGGCAGCTTAAAACTCATGCCGGGCGCATGTGCGTGCATGCCCAAGACCCCAAGAGGAGAGTGAAGAAGAGATTGTGGCATGGCCATCCCCCCGGAGGGTGATTTCTCATCTTCTGTCTATCTATCTCTGTCTCTCCAGTGAGTGCACGCACCCTGTAGCAAAAATCTTTCTACAAAAAAAAAAAAAAAAAAGATGACTTTGGTTTTTTTCAGCAGTTCTTCAATTGAGGCATCAAATTGAGTGTTTTTCCTGAAGAAATCAGCTTGGAAGGCCTCACAGCAGTGTTTCGGTTTGTTTTGTTTTTAACATCGCCGTTGCTTGGCACCACTGCTGTCGCTGTCAGAAGCAAAATCAGACAACTCATCAAGAACTCACTGGGCACATAAGCCCCTGTCTAGCTCAGGGGAGCGGCTAGCCCGCTGTATTTTGGTAGCAGAACCCTGGTTTTTAAGTAGCACAGTGGGAGACCGGCAGGTGGCATGGTGGTTAAGGGCGCTGGACTTCCACATGGCCCACTGTGGTTCGAGTCCTGGATCTGGCGGCTTGCTTTCTCACTTTCCCCCTCTACCCCTCCCTTTCTCCTCCCTCCCTCCCTCCCTGTCTCTTTCTCTTTCTCTCTCTCTCCCCTCTCTGGTTAAATTAAAATAAATAAATAAATGAATAAAGTTCAATAAATAATTCAATTCAAAAATAAATATTAAAAAATAGTACTATGCCAGGACCAGCAGTTAGCATAATGGCTGCGTCACTGGACTCCCATGTAGCCGACCATGGTTCAAGTCCCGGACCCGGTTGCCTAAACTCATGCTGGGCGTGTGTGTATGCGTGCCCAAGATCCCGAGAGGAGAATGGAGGAGTAGGGATTGCGGTGTGGCCATCCCCCCTGGGGGATGATTTCTTATTTTCTGTCTCTCTGTCTCTGTTTTTCTGGAGAGCACATGCGCCCTATAGCAAAAACCTCTCCAAAAAAAAAAAAAAAGTACTGTGGGCCGGCTCCATGGGCTGGTGGTTAAGGCAGCCGGATCCCATATGGCTGACCACATGATTCTAGTCCTGATGTCAGTAGCTTGAGAAACACACAGGGTGTGTGCACTTTGTGTGTGCGTGCGTGCACACTCACCCACACTCCTAAAATCCCAAAAGGAGGGAGAGATGGAGAAGAGATTGCAGCATGACCATTCTCCATGGAAGGTGCTTTCTCTACTCTCTCTCTCTGTCTCTGTTTTTCTCTGGTGTGTACACACGCCCTCTAACCGACATAGAGCAAGCGAGGAGAGAGAGAGAGAATACGTGCTTGGTGTCCTTGTTGGGCCCAGAGCAAACTTGCTTGATGTCCTTCCTTCTCCCTCTTTGAGAGGACTCCTAAGGGGTTTTACTGCCCCGGGAGCTCCCTAGAGCAGGTGAGAGACCTCTGGCAAGGAATCACACTGAGGCTAGGTCTCAGACGACTGGGCAAAGCCTGGCCTCCTGACTCCGAAATCATTGACGAGTGATTTCGCTCAAGTTTCATTTTGTTCATCCAGATGAAGAGCCTGTCTGAGAATTTCTGTAAGAATGCTTGTCAGTGTGCCTGGTTTCCACATTAATGATAGCACCGGCTAACTAATATACAAATATATGTTGAACAAACTGCAAGTACAACAGGAAGAATAGAGGCTTTGGAACTAGAAAAACTTAAGTATGAATGTGGTGCTTGTCTGAGAATTTCTGTAAGAATGCTTGTCAGTGTGCTTTGGTAAGCACAAAGACTAAGATTCGTCCTGTTCCTCACTGTTTCCTGGTCTCATCTCCTTTGCGTGTTGTCATCATCTCGTCTTGATCATTTAGGGACCTAAGGTCCATGTTGTCAGACTAGCCCCATAGCGTAGCAGTTCAGCGCTGTCCTCAGGGAACTGGATGCTACATGACTGATGGCTGCTCAGATCCCAGCCCCAGTGACTTGAAGGACAGTCTGTGTGTGTGTGTGTGTGTGTGTGTGGGTGTGT